ACATCGGAATGCCTCATTACTCAACATACATCTGGGTGCTTGATTTAATTAGACCTAAGATCTTTTCCTTTAATGTCTCGCTTGCTCCTCATTTCTTGATCATATTTTATGTCAAAACACCACTATCAATGAGCTTCTCTATTTCTCCCATCAACGATATGCATTTTTTAGTGGGATGCTCCAATGCACCCATGTGAAAATCACAAATACCATTTGGGTCATAACCATAAGCACATGATTTAGTCATTATTTTTAAAGGCCTTAGGGCGAGGTATTGGCCTTTAATTAAATGGAGCAATAAGCCTGAAATAGGAACTTGGAAAACTTTAAGTGTCATATTTGTCCAAGACATCTTTTGCGACCAAATCTCAAGTTACCTCTACTTAAATCTTCTTGTGAATGTCTTATCTCATTTTCTTTTCATCTTCTTCGATCATTGGAGACATCTTAAAAGTCGAATCTATTTACCTTGCTTCATTAATGCTACTTCTTGACTTCATCCCCTTTCTTATTTTCCTTTTTCATTTGTTTTTTTTTATTTTCTCTTTATTTAAATTGATTATTTCAGCTTCGACCTCGTGATTGATTTCCAACTCTTTGACTAAAATGGACAGATTGTTGCAACGACGCTCTATAACTCCACAACATAGAAGGCTTTGGACTTGTTGTTTGAATTTATTGCACCTTTCAATACAGTGCCCTCGAGCTCCGACATGATACTCACAGGAAACCTTATCATTATACCATATTGGATATAGGGGCCTCAAAGGTTTAGCATAGTGAGGTACAATCAATTGAGCTTCAAATAACTTGGAATATGTCTCACTTCATAGTAATTAAGAAATATTGAATAAAGGTTTTTCAGATTTCATCCTTTCGTTATTATCCATAAGAGAACTCGGTAAAAGGGAGATTTGAAATAAAGGAGATTTTAAAGATTGATTTTCAAGTTCTGGCTCTTGAATCACAGTTCGTGCTTATCAGAGTATTTGAATGGGAGGTGTTTGTCCCCTTGGTTCTTTATCTCCTTAGGCTCATTGGTAAGTTTCGAGTTTCCCGGGAGTTTAGGTCCTCCATTTTCAAAGCACATAAGACTTTGAACCTCTAATCTCAAGGCCCGACAATGCTATGTGGAATGGGTAGCAACACCAGAGTGAAATTTGTATGGATCTTCGACACTCTCCTCACTAGACTGGCCATAATTGTCTGCTCTCGATGGAATAAGTGTTAAAAGAGAGATTTGAAGAGAAAAGGAATATTTAAAGATGTTATAAATGTCTAAAACATTGAAAAGACATATTTAAAAAATTATATATATATATATATATATATATATATAATAAGAATGTCATCCTTAATAAAATATATAGTCTACATATAATATTTATCATATATTTAATATTAAATTTTTATAACCATATACTAAAATATTACTTAAAACTATAAAATATATATACATATAAAAATATAAGGGCTAAATAAAGGTAAATAAAAATATAAGGACCAAAAAAATAGTAACATCAGGGATTTATTAGCAAGCATAAAAAAACAAATATCAATGCGAAGATCAAATAATATAGGGACTGATGATGACATTAAACACATAAATGTAAGCAATACTAAAACGATTTTTTTTAAATTACATGTCAAATGTAAAAACAATGTGAAGATAAATAAACAAGCATCATGTACAAAAATAAAATGCGTAAAAAATTATAGGACAAAATTAAAAACTCAAAATGCCATGATTTGAGGACTAAAATGGATTAATCTTAGAGTAGACGGAGCCCTTACACAATTAACCCCTAAACCTTGTTACCCTAATTCTAAAACTACGTCTTTATTGGCAATCTTTAAATGCCACATTATAAAAAAAATATTAACCTAACCCTCATTTGGTCATTCCCCAATCGTCTCCCTCACATTCTTTCCTCTATTTTTTTGTCGTGCATTTTTCTCTCTTCTCTTCTCCATCTCATTTTATTTCCTTTTTTTATGAAACCAAAAGCCTTATTCCTATGGCTATCCAGCGCAACCACCTTTATCAACCGTCTACGGTGGTCGACGCTTAAGTTAAGAAGCCTTAAATGGCTCCCTTTCTCCCCTAAACTTGAAACCAACCCTCAAATCTTGAAAACTCGCCAAAACGCATAGATGTAAAGATTTACCTTCAGATAGCTTGGGTTTCCAGCAACATTTAACCTTCTCCGGTGGCTGGCGAATAAGATAAGTCTTTCTCCCTTTTTGTTTTTTTTTTGTTTCGGGTTGTTCGAATGGCTTCTACATTTTTTTCAAACTTATTTCTTCTTCTTTTTTTGTTCGTTCAAGCTATCTCTTGTTTTTTTTATCATTTTTTGAATTTTTTGGTTGTGGTTCCTTTTTGTTCGAATCGTCCTCCTTTTCTTTACGGATTATGTAGAGGTTTTGATTTAGCTAGTCATCATTTTCTCTATGTTTTTCGGCTTTACTCAGGTCGAGGGTGACTCTGACAATGGCGGTGGTGGTGGCAGAAGCTAGGGTTAGGTTTAGGTTTTGGGTCATCAGGTCAGTTAGTCTTTGTTTGGGCTTGTTTACTACTAGGCTTGATGTAATTTGGCTCGTAAATAAAATGAAACAAAAAATATAATAATAATAATAATAACAACAACAACAACAGATAAAAAATGGTGTCAACTTAGTGTCATTTTCTTTAGAGGTTTTAAGTTCAAATAGTTATATCTACAGAATGTGTGTTGTTAATGACTAAAAGATATTATAAATAAATACTATATTATAATCACTTCAACTATTAAAAAAAGGGTAAACAATGCATTTAGTACCTAAACTATTAATTTTGATCCGTTTTAGTATCTAAACTTTTATTTTTTTCAAAATCATATCTAACGTTTAGTTTTTCTTTCATTTTAGTACCCTATCATTAAAAACTTAATGGACGGGTTGACGGGGCATAGTTCTAGTGGATGGAAGACCAATCTGAATGGTGGACCATGAGAAAATGAAAAGTCGACCAATATAGTCTAATTTCAGGCCCATCAGACGGTTAACGAAGGAGATTAAAGGATGAAGAAGTCGAAGAGTCCATCATCGATTTTGGGAGATTGGATTATTTTCTGATGAAACTAAGACCGAATTCACATTCCATGGTAAAAAGATGCAGACTAGAAAGTTTGAGTTTCATCAACCGATATATGCGACAGACGACAATTGTAAACGCAACGACCGTCAAGCTCGTTCGTTAAGTTTTTAACATGTATTAAAATGAAACAAAAAATAAACATTGGGTATTATTTTTAAAAAACTAAAAGTTTAAATATTAAAACAAATCAAAATTAATAGTTTAAGTATTAAACACGTAATTTACCCTTAAAAAAATAGAATCCATGACCCAAATAGTCTTGAAATCCAGAAGGTCGCTTTATTGGACTTCAAATTATTTTACGGCCCGCCAAAATTAGTAATCTCCTGATTGGATCGGGGCCGTGTAAAATAATCTGTTCCGGCGTCGTTTCCTCTTTTGAAGTTTAAAGTGGCGCCGGACGCCGTAGTCGGAGAATTCAAATACTCCGCCGGGGGGCGAAGTAACTCGATGGCTTCGAAATTATTGCTTGTATTTCTTGTAAAAGGTTCCTTGTTAAAGACACGCAAATGCGACCCTGATGCCTACTTCTAATTTTGGAAAGATATTGGAGAGGCAAGTAACTGTTTTCTATTTAATTGTTAATGATGTTAGGGTTTTCCTTAATCTATTCATGAATAATAAATAAATTCGCTAATTGTTTTCTAGCATCTGTTATATAGATTGTCCGATGAGGACAGTAGTACGTTATCGTGCATACTCTGGTTGTATTCAAATGTCACAACTTGTTGATATCATTTTCTATTTGAATAGGATTCCGTATCATTTGAATCTTCTGTTGCTAGCTTTTATCTCATATTTTTCTTGAAAAGTTGTGGGAAATTTATGTTCTACTTTGAATTATACTTTTAATGAACTTCTGTGTTATGTCTTTTTCAATGCCTTGATATAGAAGCCTATGCCAACAAATAGAATCTCCAGATTATACAAGTCTATTTCTTCCTACCCTAACATGTCTAAGGGAAATCTATTTAAGGTTCTAAGTTCTAACAAAAAAGAATGGGCATACTTTGTTTTACTATTAATGAACTTTGTTGGATTACTTGTATGTACCAACTTTTCTGCTATCTACTACTTTGGAATATAACTTCTTATTGCAGTAGCTTTAGAAGTTCGAAAACAAATTGCTATCGATGTATATGATTATTGATTAGTAAATCTTGTAAATTGTGAATTCTTTTCGGATTACCCCTTCACAATGTCATAATGATGCATCTAAAAAAAATTTGGAAATACCTGTGAGAATGTTTGGTGGATTCTTCATTGGAGAAACGTGCAGATTACTCTGACAATAACATTTCATGTTTCTGTTAATTCTATTTATTTGAACTGAACCTTAATGATCTATGTTGATGTTTTGTTTATGGTATACTTGTTGCCTTTTGTTGTTCAGGAGAAAATAATTCGGTTTTTGTTTACTTCAGTTGTCGTACACAAAATATCCATTTGGTTTACTTTTTGGCTATACTTCCTACGTGTGTAACACCTTTTTTCCTATAAACACTAGTTAGGGAGTGCAATGCTTCTGTGCTAATCAGAAAAAGATTCTTTGATCCTCATGATTGTGTGATGATCATTCAGGGTTTGATGCAGAAGTTCAAAGATATGGCCACTCACAATATTGGTATCTGCCAGTCCCACATTCATGCCAACACCATATTAAAAGGGACAAGCACAAGCATAGATGTGTCGAAAGTTCCAGAATCATACAGTAAGTCCATTTTGGAATGGAGGAAAAAAAATTGTTGGGCACCAAAAGCACAGAAGGGAAATAGAGAATATAGAAAGACCATTGAAGATGAGATGGTGGACAGCCGGATGAAATTTGAGTTCAGATCGGGTTGTTAGATTACTCAAGCTTTAAGTGGCATGGCCGAAAACTTCCTTTTTCCTCTTTCATCTGAGAAAATGGAGGAAATTGAGTACTTTATGTAAAATTATAAGAACAAAGCTAATATTCAGAAAGAAAAAGCTGGAAAAACCTTGAAAGTAAGACCCGTTATATCATATTACTTTTTTCCATTTTTTATTTTTTATCAAGTATAAGATGAGATTACAAAATTTGTATAAGATCATTGTTGACACTATGATTTAATCTTGGTTGAAGAAGTGACAAAATAGATTCTTTCTTTTCTAACTTTTTCTACAATATGAAGATATACTAACAAACTGTTATCCTCTTCTACAGTTCAAGAAAAAATAAATAAAAGCAATGCCAACAGGTGAGATGCAAAGTTGGGTTGCCATTGTTCTGCCTTGTTTCTGCAAAGTTACTCCATTCTGTTTTTCTCCATGAGTCGTACATGAAAGCCATCCGGAAACTGTAAACCTGGAGTTCTGAGCATATTTCCACCTTTGATTGGTTCCCACCTGAAAGGTTCGATATTTTTATGAGTTTTTGTCTCATTATCTCTAGCACAAAGTGTGATGGGAAGATATAGAACATTTTGGAATTTGCACTTACCTGTACTTGGTAACCAGGCAATGTAGAAACACTGCCATCTGCACTTTAGTGAAGTCCGTTCCAACACAAAATCTCATGCCGCCACCGAATGCCATGAAATTCTTTGAGGCTCCATTTATTTCTCCTCCCTGCAGTTAAAGAAGTAGAAAGTAAAAATTTATGTGATTTTGTTTTGATAGCAATCTCTCAGGAAAAAAGCATGTCCGGTATTAACCCACCTCCCATCGTGATGGATTAAAGGTGAGGGGATCTTGGTATTTTGCTGGATTCAGGTGCACAGCTGGGGGACAGACCATTACTGCCCAACCACCTGGAATGGTATATCCTGCATTATCACCAAATTTGAGGTCTTAGCTTTTGTATTTATTGCAAGGCTTTTTTTTTAATATAACAACTCGGAAGTGGGTCTCATAACATTTTTTATGCATACCTTTGAATTGGATTTCCCTTAGTGCTTTTCTGAAGATACCTGGCACTATATTTGCTAGTCTAACTGTTTCATTGATGAACTGCAAGTTGAACTTGCCCGTATGGAAACAAGCAGTTTTACTCAATTGATAATGTCAGTTTAAAGAACAGAATTTCTCACCTGGAATGTGTATGTCATTGATTTGTATTCTTTCCATGTAAGTCCAGAGTCTGCATTTTCCCTATTTCTTAGAACTGCATCATGCTCTGCCTGTAAGGTCGGAAATACTTAAGCTCATGTTTGTTCGGAATACAATTCAGATTTTGCAGGGTTGGAATAATATCACATACCCTTAATTTTTTTAGCACTGAAGGGTCATCAGAAAGGAATTTAACTGCTAAAGTTAGAGCCAGGGAAGTTGTTTCAAAACTGGCAAATAGTAGAACGAACATCAAATCCAGAGCAATTGCCTCTGTTAAGATTGTTCCCTCTTTACCAAGTTCTTCAAGGACATAATCAAAGAAGTCGCTTCGGCTCTTCCCCGGCATTGCCCGCCTTTGGTTTAGCAGGTTCTTTAACATCTTCATTGCATTTTTCCTTCCCTAAAAAGATTAAACTCAAGAAACAATACACAAAAAGATAGTAGATTTTAAGTTACCTAGTTAGAAAATGTGGTTAAGTACCTCTAAACATTTGTGATAGGCTGTTCCAGGAATATCCAAGGGAAAGGAGATTAATCCTTGTATGAAGGCAACAAAGTTTTCCCTCAGATTCTGGGAGGCATTGTCTTGGTCATAACTTATAAGCTTTTTTGCTGTGAGATCAAATATCATCTGCAAGAAAAAGACCAAGCTACCATCAGACTACATTCGGATCAAATATTTTTCTGTGAGATCAAAATATGTATAATTACACCAGCAGTTGCTTCTTTTAATTCAACAGTTTCCTGGTTTGACCAGCGTTGTAACCTTCGACAAGCCGTTTCTTCAACTGCAGGGAGCATCTTTTTGAGGTTTTCAGGACCAAAGAGATGAAGCACCATGTTCTTGAGGTACTTGTACATAAACCCATGTAACCAGCCCACATTTTGTCGTCCGAAGATCTCCGTGAACATATCCGGATACCAGCTCTGAAACAGCAGCCCTTCTTGAAGAAACACAAAGTGATTGAGATTCGGGTCGGCTGATACGATTACCGGAAGCGCCACTAAACTGGTCTTGAATATCGGCCCATACCTGCAATCAAGCAGCAATGAACATGTTAAGAAAAATCGAAGAACAAGAAGAATACTGTCATGAGGAAAACGAAAATGATCTTGTGTTTGACCTTTTCATCCTCTCTTTGACAAAGGGAGGGATATCGGAAGTAGTGTTGGGGGTGAAGAACTGAAGGGTCTCCCCAAGAAGTGGGAAACCCATAGAACCAGGGGGAACTTTACCATTACATCTAGGATTTCTCCAGTAGTAAACCCAATGTGCAATGCATATAATGAGAACCAAAGCTCCAGTCCACAACATCAACATCTCTTACTGTAAGTATCTATATCTATACAATGGAAGCTAACGGAAGAAAATATATGTATATATGATGGATGCAGGAAATGGAAATGGTTGATGATGATGATATTAGCAGAAATGGAAGTAAAGAAAACGTGGGAAGAATAGACAGGTAGGAGAAGAAGGTGCTGGCATGTATCTTATGATTCTCATCAATCTTAAATAGGAGGCCAATGCATACAACTGTTCAATCCAATTATTTATATTTTTCCTGTTTTCACCTTTTTTTTTGGAACTCGAAGGATAGAAATAGAATGAATAATTTAAAATTACCTGTGTCCAGGAACTGTTCATTTCCATTTTGTCAACGCTCCACGAGAGAAATAAGCCTAGCACTAGAAGGTAACACGATGCTTCCCTTTATTTCTCTCTCTTCTTTCTTCTTCCCTATTGGTTGGATATTCTTTTTTGCTTTTTCTTTTTCTTATAGCAAAAATTAATATTTAAACTTCAAATTCATTCTAATAGCAACTCTGCTTTAAACTGTCTTACATTACATCATTAAATACACAACCAAATTAAGTATCTTTTAACCAATCTTACATTACATCATTAAATACACAACCAAATCTAATGACTTCTTACCAACATCTTCAATTTGTCTAAAAATCTAAGCTAATTTCCCCAACATCTGGTTTTCTTTTCTTTTTCTTTTCTCTTCAGTTATGGAATCAGATCTCTCCTTTTAGATTTTCTTTAGCTGTAAATCCCAATGTCAAAGCCTCAATCTTATTGCATTACATCACTAAGACCTCCAATGAAAATGCCTTTGGGTATGCATACAATTACTGTGTATAAACTTTTCATAAATAATCTCATTGATTTAGAAGCAAAATTTTGGAGAGTTACGGCAAAAGTGGTTGAATAATGCAATGGAAAAAAAATTCTTCACATAGCGCAGTCAAACAATTATTTGCTTAAGTAGGATGATTGTTACAGTGACCACCATAGGTCTCCAGGAGCATATGGCGACCTCTATAGGTCTTCAGGAGCACACGCCGACCTATGTAGCTGCAACAGCGAGGGAAGAGAGAAGAGTTGCTGCAACAGAGGAGGCTTTGTCGCAAGGAGCACTTGACGACCTATGGAGCACTTGACGACCAATGAGGTCACTGTAGCAAACACCCCAGTTCAAAAAATAATTTGGGTAGAGCCCTATATGGGGAAAAAAATTTCCAACGCCCTACATGGTCGAGGAAGCAATAATTAATTGGTAGACTAGTGTAGAGATTAACCAATTATCAATACATTGAGCCACGGATTGAAGGCCATGAAAACAACTATATTGTAGGTAAGGGTAGGTTAGGTTACTGTGTTTTTGATCCTCCATTATTATGCCATGTCTGAGGGATTAGATTATGTATTTAGTTCAACGTTTTGTCATGTTGATATCGGACAAAACTCCGTGTATAAGCCTCAGAGAATGGAATTCAAATCAGTCTTCAAGGTCTTTGATTATCAACTTATTATAATATATCTTTTATATTCAAACAAATATCAGCAAGCACATTTGGTCGATTGACCAAGATGCTTCTTTGTTCCTTCATATTTTTTAGGTATTGTTTTAGACTCATTAGAGCATTCTCATCACTGGTTTAATTTGATGAGAGTTTGGGGGGTTAACTTGAAATTTTAAAAAATTTAGAGGTTTAAATTAAAATTTTCAGAAATTTTGAAGGGTTTAATTTACAATTTTCCAAAAAATGGGTCTAACTAAAATTTTAGTAAATTTGAGAAACTTAATGAAACTTTTTAAAAATTACAGAGAGGTTTAATTAAGAACATTAAAAATTTTAAAACTTAATTTGAATTTTTAAAATTTTTACGGGGACAGAATTAAATATTTTAAAAATTTTAAATATCTAAATTATAATTTTTCAATTTTTGGAGAGGTCGTGGGCCCGAAATGTATCTATTATGTTTGGCCCAGTTTCCCCATCCCCTCTAGGTAGGATTATAAAAAAGAAAAAACCATTTAAAGAATTAATTCCAACTTAACGTCCCAAAACTGTTATCAACCTTTTAAATCTGTTCATAAACTTTAAAACTTTCTGGTTAAAATTTGAAATTGATATTATATGAATTAAGTCATTCCGACAATTTAATTGCCAATTTAGACGTTTAATACAATTTAAACGTGACATAAAACACTTAAAAACACTTGAAAATTTATAACACGTGATAATTTGACATGAGATAAAAAAGGCAATACCAATAAAATTTAGGAGGTCCATTTTTTTACATGACAAACACAAACTATTTATACAATAAGTACAAAATAGCATTAAACTTGAAATAGCATTTAATATCAAAACTAATGGGTAGATTAATTAAAAAACTTGATAATATAATATTTAATACTTCGAAGATTCTATTAGAAATGTTAGTACAAGTTGAAAGTTTAAACAATGATTTGAAGATGTCGGTTGTACTAAGAAGGGCTCGGGATGGAACTTCCCAAATATAATATTTATAACAGCATTTTAGGTCATAACATGTTAAATATTTATCAAATTAAATTTTAATCACCTTTCAAATTATAAACGAAATACTTATCAGATTCTATTAACTTTAAAGTTAATAAACTTAAATCTCTTTTAATATTTTTAGCTTTTATTCAAATATAAATATGGTTATTCAAAATCCAAACGACTTAAATCAAAACAAGCCCCTTCGAATACTTGCACATAAATAGATAGGTTTTGAGAAGAAATAAAAAGTAAAACCCTGTGATTGTGTCTATTAAAATAGTTTTTTTGGGAGTTTGACATGTTGATTAGTTGTAGCCTTGATTATTTTCAACAGCTTAGGATCAATGTAACATATTTCTAACTCGTCTATACCATTTGTAACTCATTTGGTATGCATTGTTGGTTAGTTGAGTTCTTGAAGCATGTATGTGCATTTCATGGTAGATTTCAGTTATGATGTTATCCAGCCTGAAAAATGACTCCTTATAACCCAAATATCTCACATAAGACTTAAATAATGCTTAAGGTTCTTAGAGGGGGAAATGGAGGGTGTTAGGTTGGATTTTCGTGCCCAAATTAAAGCATTTATGGGTTTGAGTATCATTACTAGATGAACAATATTGATATTGTTCTTCACTCAACTTTGAACAAGGGGTTTTTGGCTAGCATTTTGCAAACTTAAATGTTATTCTTTTTATTTTATAATTTTGATGGATGGTATTCGTATGTGTTTTGCAAATGTTTTAAAATAAATTTTTGAGTTAGCCACTTCGATGGTCCTGTGTAATTCTTTAGTCCTTCAATCTTCAGGTTGGATTGGATTAGGGTGTTACACTTAATGGTATCATAGCGTCAATTATAGTCGTTCCTAGGGCCCGCAGGTCAGAGTTAGTAAGTGTTTGTATGAGTACATGTATCTAGAGTGTCAAGATTACTTAAGTCTCTAGAATAACGATAATAACCTTTCTTTCATTTCTAAATGAAGACTTAGACCATGGCCGATAATAGTGATCCGAGTTATAAGGGAGAAATGAGAGTCGCGCCTCCTTAGCGAGCCAGACAAGGAAGAGTTCGTACTAGAATCTGAGGATTATGGGATCCCGAGGGATGTAGAGGTCGAAGAGGCGATATTCTTTAAGGACCTCAAGTCCATGCTTAGGTAGATATTTTGTGCCATTCTTAGGGCGCCAGCTATACCCCCTACCCCGGTAGCATCACTAGCCCCACTAGTAGTAGCCCACCATGAGTCTCTAGTTGAAAGACTCCATAGTTACAAGACCACTTATTTATTTGAATCCGAGGATGATGATCCCAAAGCAGTAAACCAGTGGCTTAGGGAGACTCTCCGTGCGTTACGCCAATTACACCTCACCCTTGAGGGCAAGCTAGAGTGCAGCACCACTATTTTGAAGGGTGATGCGATTGATTTGTGGGAGACGGTTAAAATTGCGATGAAGCTAAAGAGTCTTACGTGGGAGTACTTTCTGTCAGAGTTTCGATAGGAGTACATTGAGAAGGCTCACTGGGATGATTTGAGGCATCAATATTTGTATTTGACGCATGGTAACTGGACTGTGTTTGAGTGTGAGCAAGAGTTTCTCTGATTGAGTCGCTATGCTCTAATGTCACGATTGAATCTCACTGTTGTAGGAGGTTTAGGAAGGGCCTTCACATTGATATTCTACCCATTTGGCAGTCAACACTCCTCATATATTCGTGGAGTTGACCCTATAAACAAAAGTAGTTTAAAAGGTTTTGGTTATGAGATCTCGGACGTCGAACAGTTCAGTGGGATAAAGATAAAGAGTCTTAGAGTAGGCAAGAGCCTCTCAAACATAAACTAAGAGAGCCAGGGGTTTATAGAGCTTGTGGAGGTCATCGTCAGGTTCGTCCAGGGGACCAGCGCAAAGCTCAGACCGTAATGGTAGATCTAGCCTTCATAGGAGACCTTTATTGTCAGTTTCTGGAGCAGGCGTCAGTAGGTCAGAGTAGACTCCATCTTACCTAGTGTACCCAACATGTGGTAGGAGACACCTTGGAGAGTGTTATCGAGGATCCGGAGGTTGCTTTAGTTGTGGCTTACATGAGCATTTTGACAGAGATTACCATAGGGCTTAGAACACATATTCTGCAACGACGCAGAGATCAGTGTTATTTGTTCAGAGAGTTCGAGTGCCCTTGAGAGGTGGTGGCGTTGCTTCTGGACAACTTAGTAGATGGATAGCTAAATTGGTGGCATGGCCTAGGAAGAGTGTGACGCTATAGATGTGATCTCAGGTACATTTACAATGTTTTAAAATAAATTTTGTGTTAACAAGAATAGAGCAAAGACGAAAAAGACAATAATTTTTTATTTTGAGTAAGATGAAAATGTTGAAAACATTATGCCCAGAAGTCTTATCATCTTGCACTGTAGGTCTTACAGATAACCCGGAGGTTTAAATATCAAAAAAGCTCCCGAAGGCTTTTTGAAAACATCATGCACTGTAGGTCTTATGGATGGCACTGAGG